CACTTTCCTTCCCTTTATTCTCATTCTATATCAACACCAATATGGATTGACCTTTGTAATTGTTAACTTAATAGTACAATAGTTTTGAACAACTTTGCATCAACTTGACCAATGAGAAGCTTCAACAATTTTTCAATCATCACATGTGTGTCCTCGAACAAGAGGAATACAAACGTGAAGGAATTGAATGGGAATGGGTTGATTTTGGAATGGATCTTCAAGCCTGTATCGATTTAATCGAAAAGGTACGATGTTATATTCAACGAAAACTAATTTTTTTCCTTTTCTTTTCTTCTCTTCTCTTTGCCATTTCGGTTCAATTGCGTCTTTCCGTTAAACTTGCGTTTTAATTTCAACTACAATTGTCATCATGGGTCATCATCGTTAACTTATTTTGCTTAACAATCAAATTTTTGCGTTCATTTATCGACTTAAATTTCGTTCAATTTTAAACTTGAATCATTTTCGTCTTTAAATCCCACAAAACTTTCTCTCTTGGACTAAAAATAAATGTTTAATTGTTGGTTAACAATTAACAGTTTAACGGATTTGAACAAATCTGTATTAACTTTACAAATGAAAAACTTCAACAATTTTTCAACCATCACATGTTTGTCCTAGAACAAGAAGAGTACAAGAGAGAAGGTATTGACTGGGAATTCATCGATTTTGGTATGGACTTACAAGCTTGTATTGAACTTATCGAGAAGGTAAAACAAAAGTGTAAAAGTTTACATTAGAAGAAGAAAATAATTTTTCTTTAGTCACCAACTTTAGAATCAAATAGAACCATTCAAAACCTTTAGAATCTTTAGAACTGACCTGACCCAAAACAATACCGTACATTAGATTGTAGTTGCACATTTAGTTTCCTCATCTTCATCTGACCATCAAAATGTCTTACTAACCTTCATTTGCCGTCATTACATTTTTCCCGTTTGTTCATTTCTTTCCTTATTATTCAAAATAGACTCTTTCCTTTAGACTTTACCTTTAGTAGAATGCACTATTTTCATTTTTTATTTTTTCGATATTAATATTTTTTCTTTTCTCTTTCATTCCATTGTTTCGTAATGAAACATGAATTGATTAAACTTGACTTTCTGCACACTTTAGCCTATGGGTATCCTTTCAATTTTAGAGGAAGAAAGTATGTTCCCTAAAGCTTCCGACAAGACCTTCTTGGACAAACTGAACACCAACCATCTTGGAAAATCACCAAACTTCCAGAAACCCAAACCTCCCAAGCCAGGTCAAAGTGAGGCTCACTTTGCTCTTGTCCATTATGCTGGTACTGTACCATACAACATTACTGGTTGGCTTGAGAAGAACAAGGATCCTCTTAACGATTGTGTCGTTGACCAGTTCAAACACTCATCCAACAACTTGTTGGTTGAAATTTTCGCTGACCATCCCGGTCTTGGTGCTGATGATTCAACTGCATCCAAGGGTGCTGGTGGTAAAGGTGGTGGTGGACGTAAGAAGGGTTCTGGTTTCCAGACTGTATCTGGTTTATACAGGGTAAGTTTACATTCACTCGTTCACTCTTTACTTAATGTCATTTTATTGCAGCAAAAATGTAAACGAAAAATCATTCAATTATCAAAAGAAGAAATCAGTTTAAGTCAGATAAATCAAATTTTACATTTTATTCAATATACAAGTCTAGAGTCATTTTACAGTTAGTTAACAAAAGAATTTCCAGGGAAGAAAAAAAATTGAAACAGTGATATTTAAGCAGACTTTTTACGCTATTTACAGGAACAACTTAATAAGCTGATGACTACCTTAAGATCAACCCAACCTCACTTTATCCGGTGTATCATTCCCAATGAAACCAAAACTCCAGGTATATTTCCTTTTCCATTCCCATCTTCTGCCCACTTCTCTTCCTCCTCATTCCAACTGCCATATCAGCAATATCGTTTTGTTACATTCAGACCGATTTAGCATAAAGATGCGAAAAATTTAAGTAACATACAAGATTTTTTTTGTTTAAACATTGCGTTTCAAACATTTGCAAGATTCGATTGAATTTTCGTTTCGTCTCAAAATATGCCGTTAAAACTTCAAAGCGTCCATAAACATCAACATTGTTTATGGATTAACCAATAGCAATGTTAAAATACTTCAATATCGTTCGTTCTCGTTAACAATTGAAGTAAACTGACAGGACAAAAGCGTTATACCGTTAAACTAACAATAATTTTCGTAATCGTTTTTCATTTCATATCGTCTCACTCACGCGCGTTTATAACCTTTGCGTCAATTTCGATCCGGTTCAACTAAAATAGGAACAATTGAACAAACTTATGACTACCTTGAAATCAACTCATCCTCACTTTATTCGATGTATTATTCCTAACGAATTGAAAAAACCAGGTAAAATATCGCCAAAAGAAAATTAAATCTTTCATCGTTTCTCGTGTAATTCCGTCCCATTTACGATGCACAATATCGTGTAGTATATCGTCTCCTGCATGCAATAAATTTCCCGTCCAAAATCGCCTAAGAACCACAATTCAAATAACATAATTGTAAATTGTCACGCCGTCTCGTTCAAGAATCCAATGTACAAAAAAGAAATGAAATTTTCTTTAATCGTTGCATCCAATAATTTAGTCACATCCGTAGAGCCTCTCATTGATTCGTAAACCTCGTTTCTCCTCAATCATTCAATTCCCATTCCTTTTCTTTCCCTTAGAATCTCTTTTTAAATCCATTCCAATCATGAAAATTAATCATCTTTTGCCTTCTTCATTCAACAGGATTCATTGATTCTCATCTTGTTATGCACCAGTTGACCTGTAACGGTGTGCTTGAAGGTATTCGTATCTGTCGTAAAGGTTTCCCTAACAGAATGGGTTACCCTGATTTCAAACAACGGTATGATTTTCAATTCTATTTATCAACCAATCTATTCAAATTCAATTTAGTCCATTGTTCGTTCACAAACTAATTCAATTTCCCGGAGCAATTCGTTTAAAAATCATTATTGAAGCTAACCTTACGAGAAAACACTTTCATAGATTTTTTTATACAATTAAAAGGATTGAGGCTAAACTTTTTGATAAACCTGGACTATTAGAATCGATTTCAAGAGTTTCGGACAAATTGTCAATTTCTTTTTCTCTTTTCGTTTCTTTAACTTCGAACCTCGCATAAAAAATCTAATCTTAAATCAATCAACTGATGTAACCGCAATACAGTTATACTATCTTGGCTCCTACCGCTGTACCTAAGGGATTCGTTGATGCCAAACAAGTTGCCGCTAAGGTTACTGAAGCAATTCAACTTGAACCTGAAAACTTCCGATTGGGACACACCAAGGCATGTATTTAACTGAAACAAAACGAAGCGTTTTTATTTTTTTCGCGTTCTTTTCGTATCGAATCGTCATCAAGCCGCCATAAAATCAGATATAAACACATTCGTTGAATCAAGTCTTTTTAATCTACCTTTTATCCAAAATGAAAATTCCGTACCAATTATCGTCAAAAACTTGCTCGCTCTTGCTGTATCTTTCAACTCGAATGAACCATTCAACTTTAGTACCCATTTCTATCGTTAAACGTAGTCGCTTACCCGTTCCCCAATAGAAACTCCA